GTGCAATGATTTCCGCCAATGCCTGTGACCCTACATGGAGTCACTTACAATGGTGGCGGGACATTTTTCGGATTTGGCAGATGCGACGATGTCAGACTTCTGAACCCATTCAACTGAGGTGGATTCGTGCCCATTCATGTGACGACATACCACTTCATGCCGTTACGCCTGAGGTTGCCAAACAGCTGGGAATGACTGTCCAAGATGTAGTTGCAAACAGAGTTGCTGACGATGCTGCCAAGAAGTGTGCACTGTCACATGTTCCTGTTGACCCGCAGCTCTTTCAATCCATTACTCATGAGGTGTTTGTTAGACAGGCACTTCTTTCCCGCCTCAACCAGCAGATTGGTGATGACGTCCCACTGCGTGACCATTTTGAGCGGAAAGACGAGCTTATTTGTGAGGATCCATTGAAAGATATGCAGACTCGATTCCCAAACTGGCTGTGGAACCTGCAGGTTGACCAGTTTCCTTGGACACCCACTTTCACTGAGCAGAGTCACCAGGCCCTGATGACCAAGCTGCCCCCTTCTGAGGCAACTTCGTTTTCTGATTTTTTCTCTTCCCTTCGATGGCAGGTCGGGGATAACCTGTCCACTGGGTATGTTGAAATCGCGTTTTTATTTCAGCGCCGACGATTTACTCTTGAATCCATCCACCTCGAGAGTTCCACTTTTGTTGACTTGCTGAAGAAGATACGGAAAGCATGTACGACTCTGTTTTCTTGTACAGGCCAAAAAGTGCTCCCTGGCGTTCATCACGCCACATGGGCACACAAATGTGGCCAAGCCATTCCAAAGGGATCCATTCTTGGGGCCCGTCCTTTTCTTGAGAATCAAGAACTTTTGCAGTTTGCTTGTATCCTCCGTGAAGGACGGGGACAAAGCCTTAAAGGCTGGGCATTTGATCTCTCGCTTTGTTCCGAGGCTCTCGGTTGAATCGTGTCTTTGTTTGGTGTGACTTAATTCGTTTCGTGCAACCTCTACCGTGGAACCTGTGAGTTTCCGGTATGATCACAACACGTGATCGGATTGGCAAGAACCGACGGAAAGACAGAATTGCGCTTCCATTCTATCCAGCAGTTAGAATGAGTCACAATAGTGTCCAAGGGCTCCAAGTTGGTCTTCGTTTGCGCCGCCCAAGTCCGCATTCCAACTTTCTGTCCACTCGTGTATGTATATACAGATACATATCCCTTCCCTGCTGTATACAGAGACCAGCCATTTGGGCATGCGGACAATCTGCCGAAGATTCACAAGTACAGGAGCGTTTGCCCTGACATTCCCGTCCCAATGACTCCAAAGCTACCCACAAGCTGGTCAGCATGCATGGTGAGGGCGCGCATGTTTTCTCAAGGCATACGAGGCAAGACCCACATGCATCTGGCCTTTTCAGCAAAGGACCAAAAGAATCGCCGGTAAAACGGGTGAAATTGTTTCTATCTGCTTCTTCTATCGTGCTCCATGCCTGCAGGTTGTCCACAAAATTGTCTGTGTACATAATGCCTGCGCAAGAGACCTTAGGCTTGGGCTGGCTGAAATGCAAGGCTTCTACCTCTGCATCCTCAAGGCCGGGCCATGAAGCCAACGATCATGAGCAAAACCATGCAGAGATTCCAGCGCATACCTGTGCTGATCGCCGATGGACTCACTTAAGCGCATGTCTGGCTTGCAGGCGAGGTGCTGCCTGTGAGCAAGAACAGGCCAACCAGCCCAGGGCACAAAGCCACAAACCTGGCAGCAACAACAACAACAACCAACTTCCCATCTCCAAACTTCCCGAACTTTACTAGACCCTTAGCCAAAACACTTGCTCAATACTTCACGCAATATGCATGGACTCTGGCTGATTCAGCCGTTTCTGCCCTTGCTGTGAGCTGACTTTGGACAAATAAGGTGTCGGTGCTGGTGGTTGTGTTTCGAAGAATCTGGCATGCCTTGTTCTTGATATGTTTCAAAGCTTGCGCATGGTGCCTGTTAAGCCTGGTAACTGTACTATGGGCGCTTAAAGGCGCAACATCATATGATTTCACCGCTTGCACGCATAAATCCTCCTTGTACGCGGCATACTTGTATGCGCAACATATATGCTGAAACTAACATTGTTTTTTTGAAGCGTGAGTCTGATCAAAAGCTGGTTGAGAACGCGGGGGCCGCCAAGTATTACCGTGTTGTGTTTCGAATGGTCTGGCCCTGCATTCCTTGCTGTAATTGAAGGTTTGCGCGCTATGCTTGTGAAACCTAGGAACTGCACACGGTGCGCAATATTTCGTAGCCTTGTATGTACATAATGTGGAGCTCTGATTAATCAACGCCCCCAGAATAATGTCAGCACATTCCCTGCACTGATCAATTAAGGACCCAAGAATAGTGTCTTTTTCTTGACTCCCTTCGTTTTTTATTGCAAATGCCTTCAATCTTGGTGCCAGAGTAGCCCCAGAGGAAGCTAAGTAAGGATTCTTTAATTATTCATCAATTGATTGGTTTTCTATCATTTTATTCTAGGGTCTCCAATTGTTGGGGGGGGCAGGGCGGGGCTTTGAGGGGTAAGTTCCCCAAAGTGGCAGTAGAGTATACTGGACCTGATCGAATACACCAAGTAAGACCCTCTCACGATGCAAGTGTGCGAGCGACGACAAGCACACCTTTCTATGGCACGGAGTGCAGTATTGGGCTTCAAAGTCTTGAGCCAAATGAATTAAGCGGCAGCTGACTGAAAAGAGATATATACAAACTAACTACGGACAACAGGCGCTACACACGTATAGGGTAGACACGCCTAGGGGAGCCTAGGACCCTACAAAATACAAACAGACACAAAGTTTCTTCGCGTCGTAGCTTACGGCTGCAAAACTACAAAAGGGGGCAAAATGCGCAAATGAATTACTACAGTTCTGGCATCGCAGAACTTGGCCGTAGATGCCATTCTGGCTCTTAAGTCTATGACGTCAGACAATCTAAAAAGGACTCTCAAAATGTGAATCTATACAAATCTACGAAGGGCAAAATCATCTTGCTGTGAACTTTCCGTAATGCCGGAATTTCAAGGCTGTTAGAAATCTTCAATGTTTATTCGAGTACAAAAGCTGTAAGGAGTTTTCAAAATCTATTTAGATCTAATCTATTGCAACTCATGAAGCGCAATTGCCGGAATGTCGACAATTCTTGGGCGTCATTTACCATCTTCTATACCCTCTGTATCCAGTGTCCCAGCCGGATTGCCACAGGAAGAGGCAGCGGATTGCCACCAATCTTGCCTTTCTTGCCTTCTCCACTGGGACCGTTCTTTGTCCTTCTGTCTTCGATACTGTGCAGATGCTTCACCTCGGACTCGAACGCTGGATCTTGAGGCCAATGAAAAGTTACATTGAAACGGGTGGTGAAATGCCTCGTCGCTGCTCTTTAAGCAGAAATCTAAATGATTTAAACGTTTCAGGTATTCATTGACCTTTATGAGGGTTTCTTTCTGACGCGGAGGTCCGGTGTATCCAACACGGCCTCGGTCTTCCGGAATGTCGGATGACCGCTTCACTAGCGTGCGCATATCCTTGCCATAATTCAGCACAATCTGCCTAAGGCAGTCCACGTCGGCATCCTGTCCTTCTAGTGCTGCAAGCTGCTCTGTGGCAAGCGTGGAGACCTCCCAGTTGTAGGTAATGCGGTGGTGAGGTTCGCGCAGCTTATTAGCAGATACTATATAGGATCTGATCTGAAAGGCTTAGGACGGAGCCTGTCGCCTGATCGGTGCTTAAGCTGCCTATTGGTTGGGTGTGCTTGGGAGTAGGAGGACTTAAAAGTGGTTTGTAACTTACTTGCAAATTCAATATGTTGCTCAGAACCTGTCTAACTAGACTAGAAGTAGTGTAACTTCTGACGACTTCTGCAGAAAGTTACAAGTTACTTAGGAATTTATTCCAATATATTTCCCCTAACTTAATGGAAGTTATTTTGAACTTATTTTTTCACAAAAAGCTCGTTGGTTTTCTGTTTGGTTGATAAGCAAAAGTTGCGCCGCTGAACCAGCCTCCTCAGTTCATATCTTTTTTGGCTTGCCATTTTCATTGCGGTTTTCACCGTTTCAGGAGTCCATCGAAGGACGGGGGAATCTTTGGCGTCATTCTGACACCTGGTGCTGGCTGTGTTTCATAAGTCCGGAATGTCGAACCTGAGGATCTGGGCTGCTGGGAACGATACCTCGAACCTTGTGCAGCATATGCTTCCTGCGGTCCCGACTCTTCCTGGTGACTATATTCTGATTCGTTGTCCGTATCCATGTTAAAGATCTGGACCATGGTCACTACTCTTCAGACAGGTGGGCTACTTGGTTGTCTCCTGTCCGGAATATCGGACAAAGACAAAGCTGCACGAAGCAAATTTGACCGTGGCGAAGCAGGAGACACAAGCTCCGTTCCCCAAAGTGGCAGTAGAGTATACTGGACCTGATCGAATACACCAAGTAAGACCCTCTCACGATGCAAGTGTGCGAGCGACGACGAGCACACTTTTCTATGGCACGGAGTGCAGTATTGGGCTTCAAAGTCTTGAGCCAAATGAATTAAGCGGCAGCTGACTGAAGAGATATATACAAACTAACTACGGACAACACGCGCTACACGCGTATAGCGTAGACACGCCTAGGGGAGCCTATAGGACCCTACAAAATACAGGGGGAGGGGGGGTTAAACAAGAGTCCAGATTTTGTGCATTTGCAGCATCCTGTTGTACTGTTTGAGCGTATATTAGCTATACGCATATACTTGTACAATCTTGCACATGCAACATTGCGCTGTCCTTTTTTCATCAGGGCAATACATATGCTTGAACAACATCCTATATTCTGCGCGCTTCGAACTGTTTCCCCACTCTAGTTACTACTAGTTTAGTTGCAATTTTGCAACACATTTGTCACTTTGAGGCTGATCTGCCCCTCGTTAGATTCTTCTGGCATTGCTCCTCTGTGCCTTTGTTGCGCTCAACCCTTCTGTTCAAGGCTTCTTTCAGCCTCAAAGTAGTCCTAAGCAACTCTCATGTAGAGTCATGTGAACACCTTCGCCAGCGCACTACGACCTCAACACACATGCAATTGGAAGCAACCTTAAAGTTTCATTCAAAGTGAGATTGCGAAAGTGTGACAAGCGGACGTGTGATAAGATGTAATGTAGAGTTGAGATGCTGATGAATACTTGAAGCCTGTGCATTCATCATTTGACAACTCACCTGCTCTATATATACCTGAGAAAGAAGAGGACGAAAGCCAGCGAGAGGCCAATATGGTAGTGCAAGACTGGGAGGAAAAATAGCGGAGGCTTTCTCAATCTTCCTGGCGCGGTGCTCTCTGGAGCGTCCCTGTTTAGTGGTCTATTTGAGAATCCATGTAAAAATACACGTCAGTGAAGACCAGGAGAAGGATGCCCGAAAGGTGGTTTTTGGTTGCTTTTGAAATGTGTTTCGGGCATCGTGCATCAATGCAAAGCCCTTTAAAGAGCAGGGCTGGGAGAAAAAAAGAGGAGAGCACTCATTCTTGAATGGTTGTAGTTTTCGTGGAGCTGGTATTCTGTCTGGCAAAACTTCTGACATTATGCCTGGCATTCTTTCTAGCATATCTTCTGACATTTTCTCGGGCATATCTTCGGACATTCTTTCTGGCATATCTCGTGACATTCTATCTGGCACATCTTTTGACATTCCATCTAGAATCTAGCAATGTGTGTGGCTGAATGCACTGACGAAAATGGTCCTGGTGAAGGCGCAAGGAACTGCAAAGGACCTGCAGGTCGTTAACTGAGAAGTAACAGTATGTGAGCCAAACACGAAAAAAACCAGCGATGCCCGAAATCTTCTTTTTCCGCTGTTGTCGGCCATATTTCGGGCATCGTGTTTCAGTCTTCCACACGTGGCCACAGAGAGTTGCTGCTAAACGCCCCTTGCTTCCTCGCAACGAAACCTCAGAGCTGCAGCCTGCTAAAGCTTGTCCAGAAATGCCCCTGATCTGTGCATGAAGGACATCCTTTCTGTTGCTGTGGTAAATGTTTTGGGCATCGTGTTGAACGCTTCCGCGTGTCCCGGCTTGAGTTCACCCTCGCCCAACTGGACATACTCACATCGTTCGCTCCCAGAGCGTTCACTCTTTGTTGCTTGCTCCTTCTTGGTATGATCAGAGCTACACAGTCCCTATGCCCTGCTCAGGACTAGAAAATGGTCTCCGAGAATGATGCACTACTCAGCGTCATTTACACCACTTGCATCACCAAACCACTTTTTCGACGCTTTCCTGACCCTACTTTTGAACGCTCTCCCCCACCAGGCTCAAGGTTCGACCTCCCAAAAATGGCCTCTGCGCGACCCCCCCCCACACCCCCTTTATTCACTTCGTTCACCCTAAAAACTCAAGCCTTGCCTATCGGCTGGCTTTCGTGATATATACAATTGCACCCGCCACCCGTGGTTGAACTCTAAACGGTTCAGTGAAAAGCGTGCAATGATGGGAGAACTGACACGCAATCACAACATGTGGACACCAAGCTCCACGCACAAAAACTTGAAAGGCACCGCTGACGACATTGACCTGTCAAGGAGGCAAATGAAAAGTAGAAACTAAAATACTTACTGTATTTAAACATGTCTTGCCATATCCATTAGAATTCCATTTTTGAATAGATTTGGAGCCACCTGTCCAAGGTTGGAGGTTAATGAGGCCACAGCCTCAATGTCAAAGCTCCCTTCACACCCCTGTGACATGCAGGCTCTGAGCGCATGGCCCCACTACAGGCAACTATGCCCAAAGCGGCCAGCCTTGCACATGGTGGGGCTAGGTGATTAATCTCTGGCTAGGAGGCAAACAATTTGGAGCAACGGTGTGTGCGGGCAACGCTCCTGTCGTCCAATTACCAGTCTGGCCAACAAGTTCCCAGCTGAGCTTTCCCCAAGTGAATGTAAGCTTGAGGCCACAAGCGTGAAAAAAACAATAGCAAGCCAGCATGGTCCAGGAAAGTGAGAACCAGGCCCTTACAACAATAGTGATTGCTTCATGTAATTTAATGCATGTCTTCGTGCGTCATTGCAGAACGGCTCTGAAAAGTCGGGACTTATAAGAGGATGTTACTAGTAGCTTCTAGCTACTAGCAGTAAGGCCAGAAGCCTCTAGTAGCGTCCTTGCTCCTAGTAGCGATGCGCTTTGCTCCTAGTAGCTTCTAGCTACTAGTAGTAAGGCCAGCAGCCCCTAGTGGCATCCTGGCTCCTAGTAGTGATGCCCTTTGCTCTTAGTAGCTTCTAGCTACTAGTAACTGTAGTAGGCCAAGAACCCCTAGTAGCGTCCTCGCTCCTACTAGCAATGGCCTTTGCTCCTACTAGTAGCTTCTAGCTACCAGTAAGTAGCGTCCTTGCGCCCCCGTGGCGATGCCACTTGCTCCCAGTAGCTTCTAGCTACTAGTAGTCAGGCCAGGAGCCCCTGGTAGTCCTAGTAGCGATGCCCTTTGCTCCTAGTAGCTTCGAACTACTAGTAGTCAGGCCAGGGGCGCCTAGCCGCGTCCTTGCTCCTAGTAGCGATGCCCAGTGCTCCTAGTAGCTTAGCTACTAGTAGTAAGGCCAGGAGCCCCTAGTAGCGTCCTTGCTTCTAGTAGCGATGCCCTTTGCTCCTAGTAGCTTCTAGCTACTAGCCGTCAGGCCAGGAGCCCGTAGTAGCGTCCTTGCTCCTCGTAGCGATGCCCTTTGCTCCCAGTAGCTTCTAGCTACTAATAGTCAGGCCAGGAGCCCCTAGCTCCTAGTAGCGATGCCCTTTGCTCCTAGTAGCTTCGAGCTACTAGTAGTCAGGCCAGGGGCGCCTAGTAGCGTCCTTGCTCCTAGTAGCGATGCCCTTTGCTCCTAGTAGCTTCTAGCTACTAGTAGTAAGGCCAGGAGCCCCTAGTAGCGTCCTTGCTCCTAGTAGTAAGGCCAGGAGCCCCTAATAGCGTCCTTGCTCCTAGTAGTGATGCCCTTTGCTGCCAGTAGCTTCCAGCTACTAGTAGAAAGGCCAGGAGCCCCTATAGCGTC